TCTCCCGCCTTCCTAGCGTGCCTTCGTGGTGTAGTGGTGTTCTGCAAGCTGAGACGGTATTCCAGAGGTCGGTGGTTCGACTCCCGGCGAAGGCGTTGCTAATTTTTCATCTTGCCTGCTTCTAAAAAAATACCTGAGTCTCTACGATGATCCTGATTTCTCTAGTGGAGAGTTCAAGAGTATTCTGACGTGTTGTTCCGACGGAAAAAATCTTCAAACTGAATTAATTAGCCACGCCTCCTTAATTTTTCAATTGCATTTTATATCGTCTGATTCGTTATATCTGGAACGATATCAGAGGAAAAACGAGTCGTTGATTCGTCCGCCCTCCTCAAATCCAGAGGCTTTCTCAGACTCCTAGTTCCAACGATTTCAAGTTTATTGACCTCGCGACTGCTCCTTTCTGAACGTTTTGCTGGTGACTGTTAGATTTTATTATTTAGATCAAGGAATTATCATGCAGCCTTTTAAATTCTTTTCAAAATTTTCGAATGATGACAGTCCCCTTTTAAATTGATGGTGGTGCTTATGTTTCGACGCGAAATTTTATTCAAAATACCTTCTTTGAACTTTTACCTTTTTACTTCCTTGTACGAAGTAAAAAGGAAGTATTGTAATCGCGAAAAGTTTCAGGCAGCATATTTCAACGACCTAAAGATTTACTCTTCTTATGAATCGCGACATTTGCGGAAAATATATTAAGGTGCGAAGGTTCATACAACATTATCACCCTCATAAAGCAAAATATTTACAATAATAATTTACATAAATATTTGCTTTAGGAACGTAGACAGAAACACAATGGACAAAATTTTAATGGGATAAAGCCTTAGAGATTCTTATTTAGATACAAGTAACGTTAAGAAAAAGAGGGGAGAAGACAGCTGCTATCTGATATTTTTTAGAGAATAGGATTTCCCTCTTTAACAGGAGCATTTTGTACGTTTGGCTTCTTCACCGTTTTTACTTACGCTGCCTACTTTCCTTCGTAAACATCCGACAAAATTTAATTGAAGTTTTCTTATTCTTTATATGTTTAGTATTGTGTTAAACATTACATATACGTTAATATTATCTATGAATTAAATTTAATAAATTCATTTGGTTTTGTATTATCAACCCAAAGGGGCGTTAGATCCAACGGCTATTAGTCTCAAAATGACATTTTGCGTCGTTTAACTTTCCTTGTTGATTCACTTTTCAAACTGTTGCCACCAGATATTATCGCCGTGTGACCGGGATATTTTAATTTCAAAATTTGCAATTTTTATCTCATTTTCAACTTGCCTGCAAGGATCGGTTAATTAAGTTAGAATAATTGAAGGAAATTTAAAGGAAGCGCATCAAAAAATGTGCATAATTTAATATACAAGAATTAATTACAAGGAAGTCATTAAGTGTCCAATTTGCCCAGATGGGTTATTAATTTGGTTTTGGCATTTTGCGTTGATTCACTATAAATGTCGGCTCACTTTTCAAATTGTTGCCACCAAATATTATCGTCTTGCATTATATTTAAAAAAACTAAATAATGAAGAATCTGCATGAATGCTTTTTCGCGTTGTGAAAAAACAACAATACCTAGAGTCACCCAATTTTGAATAACGTAGTCTTCCAGCCGAACATGGGCACTGAAAAGCTGGAATTTTTAATTTCGAATTTGCTTTATTATCTATTTCAAATTTTGTAAAACTTTCATCTCCAGCGCGCCGTGACTGTGCATCGGAAATTCTAAAGATATGCTGTTTTTAAATATTTTATGATATTGCTGTTGAGTGCAATTTTATGTGGCTTAAGTGCGAAGAACATGATATTTAATAAATAGAGGTAACACTAAAAACATTAAAAAAACGCCCTTTTGGGTGTAATATAAAATCTGAAAGCTTTCTTTCTTTCTTTTTTTATTTGTTTGCAATCATTTGGGTTCTAAGAATGAATAAATTCATTTTACATTAATTCCTATAAGGGAAATTATTCGGTTTAGGATTATTTCCGATGATGAACTATCTTCAAGAATGAATTAAATTCGTGAACCCAGGCTTCACTGTATACGTTTAAGAAAAAAGCCGCATGAAATCATTCGTGATAGTGCGATTTTGATACATTATCATTCCAGACTCTCGGGGTAGCCTGTAACCCCTAGAGAGCGCGTTCCCAGGTGGCGGATCGGGGAATGCCTCCATAGGTTTATCCTTGGGTGGTAGGAGGGAAATAAAATACCTCCCGCGGACCAACAGGCAGAATTCCAACCTCTTGGAGGCTCTGGCAGCTTCTTTTTCTATGAATTGTGCAATCAAAAGTGCTCTGGAGATTTATCTCTCTAAAGAAGACCAGAGTTCCAAGGGCATCATCATCTTTGACTGCAGATCAGCATTGCAAGCGATCCAGAAGGGCAAATGTCAACTCAGTCATCAGATCATTAGCTCACAAAGAAATCATTGCTGCCCAGAGATCCTGCATCTTACAATGGATACCGGCTCATGGTAAAATATTTTGGTAATGAGAAGACCGATGAGCTTGCAAAGGCATCCCGTGATTCTCCTCTCCATCCACGCTTAACCCTCGGGATGTCAATGCGGTTGCCAGCCAAGACTAATCGCAAGTTAAAGGAAACTCCATCCCGGAATTGAACTGTGACAGAGCCATATTGACTATCATAACCAGACTTAGGACAAATCACTTAAAAGGGATGAGGATTTCTGCAGAAGGACAGCATAGTTACACCAAACATTTTTCCTCATTGCCCAGATGACATCCCACTGTCTCGCCATCACATCTTCAGCTGCCCAGCAATCCAGGCCAAACTGTTTAGCATCGGCATTGAAGACCCAGTGGACCTACTTTATACTGATAGAGCTGCCGAGGTTGAAAAAGCTGTATAATTGCACTTTGCCATAGACACGACATCATCATCATCATCATCATTCCAGAAATAACACAGTTAAAACGAAATGGATCATTTAGTAATAAGAAATTGCTGAATAAAATCATTAGTATTCCATTGTCAAATCTTATCTCAATGATGCATGATTCATTCTTTACCATCACCTGCACTTTATATTCGTTTCACAGGTCTAAATATTAATGTAATGTTACATTTTTATATGTTTCAAATAAATATTTTATTATAATTTTACAAATCGTACTTCATCTCTCTTTCCTCAGAGTAATTAATGGTGTTTTACCTACAAGAATTAAATCATGATCTGTTTCACACATAATGCGTAGGCAATGGAATGTTATAATGTATTACAGTACAAAGTCCGTAATCCGGACTCGTCGGACCTTTGGCAATTCCCGATTAGGGGTTTTTCCGGATTATTGATCATCAATTTAAATCTGGTAAGATGACATGCAGAAATTATACAATTAAAACTATGAAACCGTAATTTATGAAATAAAGAGCAATTATGATCAAAAGGGTATCAAATTTTACAAAAAAAAAAAAAAAAAAAAAAAAAAAAACTTAATATTTATTTGTTTACTTTATTAAAAATTTCTTTCCACGCGCGCATGCATAAATCATACATTACGCACGCGCGTAATGTATGCGCATTCTTTACGCGCATGCGTAAAGTTTGTGGCTTTGAGGTCCGGATTATAGATCATTCCGGATAATGGACATCCGGATTACAGACTTTGTACTGTAATTACTCTGTTAAATATCAAAAAGTTTCATTAATTATGATTATTTTATCATAGATTTATATTTTATAAAAAAATAGTAACTTCTTATTGTATCAGCAAAATAAGCATACATATTTCATAAGTGAAATTACAACATTGACATAATAATACACAGTCAGTCAAAGGTATACATATTGATACACATATTGCATTCGTACATGAATTTGTAATACAGCAAAATAAAAGTTCAAATAGCTCGCAAGGATACATTCTTTCATTCAATCCATTTTTAGCATCAATATTTAGATTTTTGATTATAGTATCCATTAATGAATTTCGTCACTTCTTCCACGAAACTATCTGGACATTCGTGATGAATGAGATGGCCAGCTCCATCAAATCCAATTTTGACAGCTTCGGGAAATAATTTTGGGATAAGTTGGTCTTTACCTCTGAAATACATAAATAATAATAAAATGTCTGCAGTTACGTCATATAAGATAGCTATTTTTTATTTAAAAAAAGTCAAATTACATTCTTAAAAACTACAGAATTAATTTTCCTCCAAATTCGAAACCCATATGAAATTTTTAGGCTCCAAAGTATGCGTACTTAATTGTATAAGGTACGTAACATCTATACAAGTAGTTAACAAATATCTGGAAAAATTAAACATTAATTTTTAATACCTTGTATGAAGTATTGCAATCGCGAAAAATTTTTGGTATCATATTTCAACGAAAATATGCATTTTGACCTTTCCCAAATCCATCTGGATGATATTTTTTTGTGATACCTGTACGTATGGATACAACATAGGACGCTTTTTTCCAAAATGCATTGCAAAATGGATTTAAAATAAATTCAAAAGAGATTTTTTCGTGATGTCTATTATTGTATGTACGTACTGCACGTTCGTATGTATGTATTTCGCATAACTCAAAACCAATTAGCAGTAGAACGTTGAAATTTTGCATATGGGACTGCTATAACATCTAGTTGTGCACCTCCCTTTTTATTGCATAATCGTCAGTATAAGCGTATATAATATACTATATATACCCCATCTTACCCGGCTTAAAATTCCTCACCGGGCTTTTATTTTTGAAATTGTTGATCGTAGTCATATACTTCCAGTTACAGAAGTGTCTTAGCTGACGAAAATATTCAGGTTCCGGCAATGTAAAATTTAATAAAAAAAATGACAAATAACGAAATATAACTTTTAATTGGATCTCTCAGTTCGTATATGTATATCTGGGAAAGTTTTATACTCGTTATGAAAAAATAAAGTTACAAGAAGTTTAGCTCCCATCCATCCGACAAAAATTGACCGAGATATTTAAATTTCAAAATTTGCAATTTTTATCTCATTTTCAACTTACCTTCAAGAATCGTTTAATTAAGTTAGAATAATTGAATCAAATAAATTTAAATGAAGAGCATAAAAAATTCACATTTTTTAATATGCCGTACAAAGAAAAGAAAGTTCATGTTGTCCCCACATCAGGGTTTTCTTTTTTTTTTTTTTCCCCTTAGTCCAAAGGAGCTTTGTCCCTGAAGGACTATTGTTTTAGCTTTTGCGATTTTGTGTTGGTTCACTATAAATGTCCGTTTCACTTTCCAAACTGTTGCCACCAAATGTTAGAGTCCTGCATTATATTGGAAGAAATTAAATAATGAAAAATCTGCATAAATGTATGTCTATTTTCGAATTGTGATAAAACAACGGTACCTAGAGCCATCGAATTTTGAATTACGTAATCCTACTGCGAACATGGGCATATAGAAGCCCACATTTGAAATTTGGAATTTGTTTTATCATTGGTTTCATATTTTGTGAAACTTTAAGGAATTTTTGATTAAGAAACTCAAGGATTTCAAAGCGGGTGATGGCAACGATGTAAAGAAAAAACCTTTTTATCTGCAGCGCGTCGAACTGTGTATCGGAAATTATAAAGATATGCTTAATTTAAAACCATTTTGTGATATTGCTCTTGAACTGAATTTTATGGTTTAAGTGCGAAGAACGTGATATTATTTAATAAATAGAGGTAACAGACAAAATATAAAAAAACGCCCCTTTAGACGTAATTTAAAATATAAAAACTTTAAAGTTTTTTTTTTTTTTTTTTTTAGTACAAAGAGTGCAATTTGCCCAGAAAGCCCATTAATTTCGTTTTGGCATTTTGAGTTGATTCACTATAAATGTCGTTTCACTTTTCAAATTATTGCCACTAAATATTAGAGGCCTGTATAATATTTAAAGAAATTAAATAAGGAAGAATCTGTATAACTGTATGTAGTATGTTTCTCGCATTGCGATAAAACAACGGAACCTAGAGCCATCAAATTTTGAATAGTATACGTTTTCACCCGAATATTTATGGGCATTTAGAAGCCCAAATTTCGAATTTGGAATTTATTTTCTATTTCACATTTTGTAAAACTTTAACGAATTACTGATTAACAAACTCAGCGATTAAAAGCGAGCAATGGCAACACTGTACGGAAAAAGAAAACTTTTTATATCCAGCGTGCCAGACTGCGTATCAGAAATTCTAAAACTATGCTCATTTAAAAATTATTTTGCCATATTACTATTAAACTGAATTTTATGGTTTAAGTGCGGAATGATATTTAATAAATAAAAGTAACATACAAAACATTAAAAAAAAGCGCCCTTTCGGGCGTAATGTAAAATTTGAAAGCTTTCAGATTTTACATTACGTGTGAATACATTTTTCTGTCTGATGATGCATGGAACCCACATAAAAAATTTCGATAGAAAAATAAACTAATTCGTTTTCATTCATTTTATCAGCAATAATGGTACGCAGTTTTTAATTATTCTCGTCTTTCTAATCAAATGGTCGTAAAAGCTCAAGCTGTACAGAATTAACTATCAGAGTTGGCTTTTAAAGATCACCGGCATATACTAGCAGCAACAGCGTGGCCGAAAGGCAGAACATGCTCTCCTATTGAAGTGACCCAGACTTCAGCTTAAATACTCGTTTGTACCTCATTTGCAGAAATCGCAATCCTGAACACTCATTCTGGTAGGGAAACTTAGGTGGGATATGAGAATGTATAGAAAAGGCTTGTTCTAAAATAAAATAACTATTAGAAAATTAGAGTAAACCCTACAATTTTATTTTAGAGTTTAAACTTTTGAAGAAAATGATGGCATTTTTACTTCCTTGTACGAAGTAAAAAGGAAGTATTGTAATCGCGAAATGTTTCAGGCAGCATATTTCAACGAAAATATCCATTTTGACCGGTTTTGAATGCAATTTAACGATGTTTTTGCGTGATATGTGTACGTAAGGACAGAATAAAAGACTCTTTTCCTCCAAAAAAAATTATAAAACTGCCTTAAAATGAATTCTGAAGAGAATTTTTCTATATATCCACTCTGTTACCCGACTCAGTGATCTCAGTTTCTTTACTCTTAAGTGTTTGTAAATTACACATATTTTGCTTTAAAAATGATTAAATTATGTTGTTTTTATCTTCCGGTTAAGGTTTTTATGCCTTTACTAAATCTGTATACAATATTTTTAGAAATATCAACAATTTTAGAGTTGTTTAAGTGCCGCTAAGCCTAATAATGTTTTTGATGGCGGCCATCGCTTGTTTACATTTGAAACAGCAGAACAGTGGATTTGTTGCCAATCTAGAGAAACGTAGCTTCGCAACAACAAAGATAACGCCTTCATTTATTATTGCGAATTAAATCGTGCTTAATCTTTACTGGAATTGTTTCGAGGAAATAAGTGTTTAAAATTTACTTCGTAATTTTTAATACAGATATTTTGAGTTTTGTATATTTTTGCCTTGTCGCGAAGTGAGAACTGAATTAATTGAATGAGAAATACTCAATCGTCTGTGAAAAACTGTTTCTTTTTTTGTTTTGTTTACTTAATTTCTTTTATACATCGTTCTAGTTTTATTATAGTTTTTGAATAGAACATGTGGCAACGACTAGATAATTCTCTAAATGATATAAATTTCGTGCATTCTGAGTTATAATAAATATGAACGAAATATAATATTGTTAAGTGAACCTAGCGTCAGAGTATCCCTATGGTAAACAAATAGAGTGAATTTTAAAGAATGCATATATGCTATTGTTGTTTATGCGTTGTCGGCGAAGTAGATTTAATTCAATCCAATAAGTTTAAACGAAATGCAAGAAAAAATGCGTATAATTTAATATTCCGTACAAGGAAAGTCATGTGGTGTACACATCAGATTTTTTATTAGTGTGATTTAAAACATATTACTTAATGTAAGAGACCTTTGAAATTTCGCATTAAAGAGCGCAGAATTTTATTATGGAAAAGGAGAAATTAATAAACAGCTCAAAGCTAAACGGTACTGATAACTCAAACGAAAACATTAAAAAAAAATTAAATAAACCTAAAAACTAAATTAAACGCTTAAAATCACAATTAGAAAAAACTTTCTTTAGTCGGTGATTCAGATTTTTTGAATTCTTCTTACATCAAGATTTTTCAGCTTTAACGAATTCAAGCTAATACAACATTTCTCTTGGCAAAGTATTTAATACGACCACATTATAACTTTACTGTCCTTTCTTTTCCATTTTGAGCATTAGATGCTTCTAGTCTTTCCTCTTTTGTTTACTTCTTTGTTCGAAGTCAAGGAAGTATTGTAATCACGAAAAACTCCGGGTATCATATTTCAACGAAAATATCCATTTTGACCACTATTCGAATAAAATTTAATAATGTTTTTGCGTGACATCTGTACCGTAAGAACAGAATATACTCTTTTTCCCCAAACGAATAATAAAACTGATTTAAAATGGATTCAGAAGAGATTTTATCGTGGCGTCTATACGTAAGGACGGAATAAAGGACTCTTTTTCCCCAAATAGAACCGATTTAAAATGAATTCTGAAGACATTTTTTCCTGGCTTCTGTACGTACGTATATATGTATCTCGCATAACTCAAAAACGAATAGTCTCAGAACGTTGAAATTTTGTATACAAGATTGCTATAACATGAATTATATGAATGATAGAATATTTGTAAAATTTAAATATATACGAATAGAGAATATTTGTTAAATTCAATACATAATATATATATATATATATATAATAAAATTCCATAGTCAAGAATACAATTAAAATTCTAACTGTATGTTCTTTCATTTTAATGGCGACGTTCTCTTATTGGAAAGTACGTGGAATTAAATCCACAGCCCCGTAGTCAAGTTGTTTTTCCCGCCTTTTCTACACGTACATTTATAGAATGTTCTGGAAATATTTTAATCGAACTGGATTGGCTGACGAGGCTGACGTCATTTCATGGAAGCTCCGCCTTTCCAGAGGCTATAAAAAGACTCGCAAAAGGAATATCGGGGCTTTTTCTTTAATGTCACGATGCAGTAAACTTCATACAAAAAGTGATTAGTAATTC